TTAAAAATTTGAAACTATGTTGTTTTTTTAATATATATTACCATATATAATGCAAGATGAATATATTTTTTTTAATATATATTACCATATATAATGAAAAGTAAAAATTTTTTTTTAATATATTTGTCATTAATTGCCCAATGTTATGAAAAAATTTACTGTTTGTTTCAGCAAGGTAGTTGAAAATTTACTGGATGATATCAACATTGATTTTGAGTTTAGCCCAGATCTTTGTACATACCTGAAAAAAAAATTTCAAATCACAGGTGTCACATACAACACTCCAAAGCAAAGGATTTTTCATCGGTGGTCTTCTGTTTTAGATTGCACTCTTCCTATGCTTGAGATGATGCTTGTTTTCACCTTAATTTATACTTCTTGGTTATCAAAACAGAGCATCTCTCTGCATAAAGATGAAAGTGACAAAATTTTAAAAAAAAGGCTATCAAATGAAAGTAAAAGACTAATAGAAAAAATAAAAATGCTAACAAAACAAGATGCAGAAAGAAAAGCTGGAATTGTTAAAAGTTTATTTTTCTGACATAATGAAACATTACTTTATGGGTCATTCTGTGTCAAATCAATCCAAAAAAAAAATTTTCGGCACCAGTTTTATAAAATTGTTGAATCTTAAATGAGCCTTATGGCCCAAAGAAAATCTTCAAAATTATTTTATCACATTCACAAGATTTCAATACTAAAAAAACTAAACAGATTACTTTAGATTCCTTTGTTATTGCAAGTAGTTGAACAATAAATCAAGTTAGTGCTAAAACTTATAATATTGGAATTATTAAAATGGTGAATAACAGTTTTTTTGAAAAAAATTTGCGGTTGAAGGATTTTAGTTGGTTACAGGCCAATTAGTTAAAACTCTTGGATTCACTACTGGACACAATTCTATATGCAATTTGATTAATGCAGGAAAAAAAAAAGCTGAAATAATAGAAGTATTGTTACAAAAATTTATTTATGTTAAAATAGATGCAGCCACTCGACAAAAAAATAACTATTTGAAAAAAAATAAAATATTCAATATTATTATGTGAAAAAAAATTAAAAATTTTGGCACAGATAGATACACAAGGACAGCACAACCCTATCGCTATCAAAAAAATGGTGGAAGATACTCCATATAGATTTGGTATCAGCAAAAAATCAAATAGTATTTGCAAGGTAGAAAATGCAGACAATATGAATAGAGCAATCAAAATTTTAAACAAATATTCAGGTGATAAAAATTTTTGAGATAAAGCTTTGCATGATTACGAAAAAGTGGAATTTTTACAACAGGATACAAACAAAGAAGATAGTGAAGGAGCTCAAAAAAAAAATCTAGCCTTTATCAACCCAAAATGGTGTCAACAATCGTCTACTGACATTAAGCTGATGCGCTGTGTTATTCACACTTTGCAGCTAGCTATTCGTATGATTTAAAAAAAACATTCTTTACCTAATATTTGGCAAAAGTCCTATATGTTGTAAAGAAGTTATGGTCATCAAGCACAACTATTTTCCAAATCATGACTACTGTCACCACAGAAGAAGATGGTAGTCTCTGGAAGATGCCTGGGCTAGTTTTTTAGAATCAGAAGTCAGTTGTAAATCCATGCATAGGTGTTAAATTCATGATGGTTTTCTGGAGTATGACTGGGCTGGTTTGGTGTAGTTAAGAGATGGATCTTTTACGCTGATTACTAACAGCACAAGACTCTACTGAACAACATAAATAGCACAGACTAACACATTACACCTATTCACTCTTACGCACATGCAGCCTGTTACATCGTTTTGCATGCTTTTTGTTCTTTTAAAGATAAACTAACTTTGTTTGAACTCTTCCTTATTAAGATAATATTTTCTTTTAATAGATAGTATGTGGTTGGAATGTAGATATAGATCTTTATGTTATGTAAATGTGGTTATCATGTTATCATGTGTGATTGAGTTTTGATTTTAGGGTTCATTTATATATATATATATATATATATATATATATATATATATATATATATATATATATATATATATATATATATATATATATATATATATATATATATATAAGAGCGATTCTTTTAAACTAGAGGCCTTCGACATGTTTTGTTGATGTATGTCTTTTTGTTGTTGTTTTGTTATGGTCTCAAAATTACATTTCATTTCATCAAATCACAGGCTGTAACTTTATTTTTTGGTAATTTTGATTTAGATATGGTCTTTTTAAGTTTTATTATCTTACATTCAGATTTTGTTAATTTTCATATGCTTAATTTACGTCTTCTATTCTTATTCAGTGAGTTTCTTATATCCTTTACTAGATGTTTACAGTTATGCGGGTGACATTTTATGGTTTTTGTACGATGTTTTTTTTTGGCTATCATAGAATATTGAATTATTGTAATGATTTTGGGTTGCACGGGCTGCTCATTTTCTTACACTTTTGATTGGTTAACACCTTTTGAATAAGGTATCTATGACAACATTAGGTATCTATGACAATGTTTATTGAAGACTATTGTTGTTTTGTTGATTTTTAAAAAATTTAGGTATACTGCTTTCTGATTGTCTTGGGTTTATTTATGCTAAAAGTACTTATTTGGTTTTATATGTTTTAAAAATAAATTTATTAGTGTTTTTGTGTTTCTATTAGAATTTTAATTTATTGTGATTTTATGTTTTCTTTTGGTGGTATGGTAAGGTATTTATCTAATTATTTTTATTTATGTTGTATAGTAGATCTACACCTTTAATATCATATCATCAAAAAATATTGGTGCTTTACAAATTTGGGGATGGTTGGTTTTGGCTATTTGTAGTGAGTCCTTTTTTACTGCAGTATGGAATAGGTGTAAGTTGCGGGATAAAACATTAGTGGCAATGACGTTTGTCAAATGGGATAAACTAGATATTAGTGCTGATCCTCATCGAAACGCCATAATAGACGTGACTCTCAGGAGATGTTTTTTAATCACTACACAAATTATGTTTTCACGGAAGTATTAATGTTTTTTTTTCCCATTTTGAGGTCTTACATTGTTGTTAGCATACTTTTTATTTTGTAATCAATTTGTTTTATAAGTTTTTGTTTGGTGATATATTTGTGATATATCTTCATTCTTATTAGTGTTTATAAAATAATTTTTTATATTTTATTATTATTGTAAGTACTGTTTAGGTGCATTGTTTGTCTTATTTATTTTTAAATATTCCTCTATTAATCTTTATTTTAGTCTTGACAACTGTCAATATATGCTTTGTTCAAAAAATAATTATCTTTTATTCTAATGTACTTCATTTCTTTCCTCAGGCGTTCACTGCTCGTGTGTGACCATTTGGTGAATTTTTATATGCCAAAGTTTATAAATAAAATAGTTGAAGAATCTATTATTAATCATGCAAAAAAACGTTATTAAATGATTCAAAGTTATTTATTTTAAACGTAGTTTAGATAATCTTAACAAACAAAAATTATATTGGGCAAGGCAGTACTATCCTGAAATAGTTTATTTCAGGATAGTACTGCCCCGCCCAGTAAAAATTATTGGGGGGCAAATGCCCCTGCTGACCTTCCCCTCCCCCCCCCCTTCCATCATTGCTACAGGCCTGTTATTTGCTTTAATTAAGTTTTAATTTTGTTTTTGCTATTTTAGTTTTAGTTAAGTTGTTTTTATTTTGTTTTTCATTATTTTTTTTATGAAGATTTATTTGCTTTTTTAACAATAATTTCTTTTATAAGTTTCTTTATAGTTGAGATTATTTTTTTAGCGTGTTTTTAAAATGTATGGAATTTTTCAAAACATATTAACAGCCGTGGTCAAGTTAAGTAAAATCAAATAGCATTTGCATAGTTATGTTATTATGTAAAATTGCATGCCTCCTGGCCAAGCCTGTATAATACTGGTGGAATATTTGCAGAAATTATTTTTATTTCTATAACACCTATAAAAATTATAATTGCTACAAAATTTATATTTTCTATAACAATTATGTGAATTAAAGTAGGTGCTTTAAATGGATGGTTTATTTCTTATGTGTACAAGTTTACTACATCAAGTGAAAGTATTAATTAGAAAGATTCTAATCAAAAGAATTATGAAGATATATAGTTATATAGTTGAAGATAAAAGTTAATTAACGCAAACAAGTTATAATTTTAGAAAACAATTATGAATAAGATAAGGTCTTGTAGAATAATTCAAGCAAATTGTATATTTTTTATTATGTTGACTGTAGCATAACTGTTTATTTGGTTAGATTGTTTTTTTGGCAATGTGATGGGGGAAGGAAGCGATATTCTCGAGGTAGCCTTTCTCCTCTATCTCTCCCTTTATCTCCCCCTTCCCACCCAGTTAAAACAGGTGCTGCAACTATGGTTTTTAGGAATCACTCTCTGAAAATAAGGTAAAAGGCATTTCTTCAAATAAACCTACTTTACTTAAAAGGTAAAGCTACTTTAGTTTATGCTAAGAAAAAACTATTTTATTTAATATTTTGATAAACTTTGAAGTTGCAAATATTTTGTAATTTGTATTTATTTATTATTTATAATAAATAAATACAAATATTTTGTATCCTATTTGTAAATATTAATAGAAAATTGTTTAAATTATTTTAAACATTTATTAACTATATTTTAGTAATTTTAATAGTTTTTAAATGTTTAAAACAATTTTAAACAATTTTTATCTATAAATAGCAAAATTAAAATAAAAGTAATTTCTCTTATTAAAACATCTTGTAGTAGAATAGTTATTGGCTATATAATATATTATATATAGTATAATATATTATATAATATATTATACTATATTGGCAACTATATAATATATTATACTAAATTGGCAACAATTGTTCGGTGAACTTAATAATTTTAAAAAATTATAATTAAAAAAATTGTATGCATTAACTAAGTTTTGTTTGCAAAGGATTTTTAAAAAATTAAAGACATTAAAATTTAAAAGTAACTAAAACTTAATGTAATTCGATTTTATTTTTTTTAGAACCAATGATTTTCTTTTGCTATTGGTTAATGTAATTCGTTTTAATTCAAGTTTTCTTGACAAAGAAACAATATGTAGTCTTGTGAAGTGAGTTTATTTTATTTTATTGACTAAATCTTCATTTTATATTAAGTTTCACTTTAAAATCATGCTAGAAAAACTGTATATTAACTTTAAGCTTACTTGTATATTAAGGACAACTGTATTTCTAAATTTTTTTGTATGAGAAAGGCAACTGCGTTTTTAGATTATCTTGAAATTAAATTTCTTAGGTTGGCTTAGATTTTAAGATAAAAAAATAATGAAATGATTTTACAATAACTAATTCAAATGAAAAGTTATCATCTGGTAGTTATTACCATTTGAATATCTTTTCCTAATTTTTAAATTTATTATTTAGAAAAACTTGTGAATTTTGCCATGTTGCTAATACTGAGTTGGAAGTTGAGGTAACATATTTTTATCATCATCACAGTTATTATTCATCATCATTATCATTCATCATCATTCATCATCATTATCTTTCATCATCATCATCATTTATCATTGCCATCAATCATCAAACTGTTCTTGTTTAGAATGTGTATTAGATTAAAGCTCTTTGGTGATTGGCCAGTGCTGTCTTAACCAGGGGCCACCACAGGCAGTTTCTGGTAGGCCATGGCAACAGAGAGCCTATTTTTACATGAAAAAATATTTTTGTTATTGAGTTTTTTTTTTTACAAGACAATTAGAATCCTTGAGAAATTATTAGAATAATGAAATTTGTCTAACATCATAAAACTAAAAAAAAAGTATATATATTTCAAGATTTCTAAATATTTTAACGAAACAGACAATAATGCATAATCAGTTAAGTGTTTGACAGTCAGTTTTCATCCATAAGTATTTGTCCCAACATATTTTACAATGTTATATGTGGTGTGTCATGTTCAGTTTTTAATCTTTTTTGTTGGTGAAGTTTAATCTATTTTAGATTAATAGAGGAGTATTTAACTTGATGTGTTTATAAAAATTATTTTATAAACACATCACGTTCTTTTACTCAAATCAATAACCACTGGGGAAAAAGAAAATTTTGCGGTACACTAAAATTCAGCTGAGTAAAAAATAATAAAAGAAAAAAAAAAACAAAATTATTGTTGCAACAGTCTTTTTTAAATTTATAAATAGAAAAATAACAGTGTAATACTAGATAATTTTTATTATTGATTTTCTCTAAAATTTGAAGGTAAATAGGGTTTTTTTCAATTCTTTTGACCCTTGTCCTTAGTCACATCAATTGCTCATCCATGATGGATTGGTTGATGCTCCAGACACCAGAGATTCGCATCATTGATGAACATAGAAGTGTGATCAGTTTACCAACCTTACCTAAACTGTTCAGAATTAGAAAGAATAAACTGGTAAGAACAAAACTTCTGCTTGTCCTACCATTTTTTTCTTTTGACCCAGCTCATTGAAACTGCATAAATAAAGACTTGTTTGAGGACCTTATACTAAATCCAGCTTATACTAAGTTGAAAGAAGAAGAATTAATTTATTAAATTCAGTGTATTATTTCAGTGACGCAAGAAATTGACAAGCTTACATGGAGCTCCTTTATCAAACTTAAGTTAATGGAGAAAAATAATGTGTGACAGGTTGATGTTTGCAAACTCAAAGGTAATATATAATCATAATAGTTTCCTTTTTGGCAAAACCAAGACCACGTTGGGTTGACTGCGAGTTTGGGAAACAGTTTGAAAGTGAATAGGCTTACTAAAAGATGGCACTACTCTAAGTGTTTTCTACAATCAAGTTTCTTGCTAGCAGGTACTTTATATCATGTAATTGGCTTATTGAAAAAATGTTGTTGAAAAGTATTGCTTTGAATTAATAATGGTCGGCTGTTCTTTGGCAAAAATAAGCAGATTGCTTTAAAACACCACAGATATTATTTGGGTATGCTTGAACTACTATCCATATACAACCCTTTCCTGACAGAACACTGTAAGATTTGTGGCAACAAGGCAAGAGGGTTGTACTTTATATTTATCAGCCAATATCTATGAAGATTTTATAAAGGTTTTTCATAATGTGTATGCTTAAAGGTGTAGTGAAAGTATAAAGATCTGTATATGTCACAAGTATGTAGTCTGAGTGTAAATGAGTGTAATGGATATAAAATCAAGCAGGAAAATACATAAGACAAAATATATGTGTGTAAAAAGAGCTAGTTTGTTGCCCAAATCTGGATCACAACTCATTTTGCACCAAAATATTTCTAAACTTCTAAAAATCCTTACATAATTAATTACTATAAAATTACATATTGTTTGTTAAAATTTTTTTAATTTTTTACCTAGGTTTACCTATAGTTCATAATTGCCCTGTAGGATGATAATATTTTGTTTTACACAGTCTGTGTTGCATGTCTTATAAAATAAAGGTAAAAATAAATTCTGGCATCCGGTCCTAAAAAGTTTTAATTCCGGCCGGAACTGGAATGACCTAAAATTCACAAATTCCGGTCGGAACTGAATTCCCGTACATCTCTACAAATAATCAGGATGCGATTTAGAAATGTGTTTAAAATAGTTTTATTATTTACGATAAGTTATTTTAATTTGCTATGTTGACAAATATTAAATATGATGTAAACTCTATTAATTTTTTTGCTTCACTTATTTTAGATTTACTTTCATTTTTAATGGTAAAAATCTTTTTTTATCATAATTAATTGAAATTCTTATTTTATTGTTATAAAAAATAAAAATATTTATTATATTTTTTATAATAATACATAATAATTACTGTATTTAACTAAGAACATATATTCTTTCAATTGTACTTAGTCACTCTTTTTTTTATTTATTTTCTCTTAATTTTTGTTGCCACTAATTTTTATAAATGAATGAATGATTTATAGATAAGTTTAATATTACTAGTTGTGGCTTTGCGCTTTTTTTTTCTATAATAGGATTTTTTTGTATTTTTTTTTTTTTTTTTCTATAATAGGATTTTTTTGTATTTTTTTTTTTTTTTTTCTATAATAGGATTTTTAAAAATGTATATTCATACTTAGTAAAAATCGATTACTCAAACGGAACCCTATCTATATTGACTTTATTGACTATGTGATTTACGTATGACTCATTTACAATCGGGTAAAATATGCTTGTATACAGAATATAATCGTTGTGACCATACTACCAGTATTCTCGTGTTACTCGTCATTCAATTAATCTCATCATTGTACTGTGACTGTTTTGTTATAAAGGTTGCAAACAAACCATTCAAGTGGAGTGCTTGAGTTAATTGAACCATATAAATGTTTGGCATAAACGCTAGAAAACAAGATGAACTAAACAATTTGTTTATGAACTAAAATGCGTTTAGCGCCTGGAAAACATATAAAAATGTGGATTAGTGAATGTTAAAAGAGTTGAGGTTGGAGTTAGAGTTAGAGTTGGGGAGTTGTCGACAATTAGTCTAGAGAGAGAGTTAATAGTCACTGCGAGTTGGACAATCCTAGTTGTTGGAGACAAATAATTATATTCATTTAGTTATTTTGTACTAATTGTTTTGTAACAAATACAGGTTATAATAAAATAGCGAGAGCTCAGTTTTATATTCCAATACAAGTTACCACAAACCGTTATACATTGCGAAACATTTGAATACGATTTAGTAACATTATTTATAATTTTATTGTGTAAACATCTTATCTAACATTTGGAGGCACTGCTTGGATCACAAGTGGATTCCATCTCTGCTTGGACCGATCATTTTACCTACGTAAGTAAAGACTAACTATTGTTTATTTTGTTATTTAACTCACACTCGATTACTCAAACGGAACCGTATCTATATTGACTTTATTGACTATGTGATTTACGTATGAGTCGTTTACAATTGGGTAAAATATGCTCGTATACAGAATATAATCGTTGTGTCCATACCACCAGTAATCCTTATACTTCTCTAAACAACTCTGATTCTACCAACTCCTTAGACCTGTCAGACACCGATTTGTTTAAAACCAAAAACAGTCGCTCCCCAACTAATCCTGAAGTGAAGAACAAAATGTCACTTGAGCAAATTTTAGAACATTTGGCGTTAAAACCGAGCCATCTGAAAGTTTTTAGGAGTACAGAAGTAGAAGACATTACTGAATGGTTAGCCAGCTTTCATCATATTGCACTTCATAGTAAATGGACAGATGAAAGGAAATTACTAGCGTTTCCACTTTACTTAAAAGGCAGAGCTCTAGTTTAATATGAGACACTTCCCGCGCTTACTAGAAATGATTATCACAAACTTCAAGACCGATTCTGGCAACGTTATAACAATGCAAATATTGCTTGGAACCTTAAAATGGAACTATTTAGCTTATCACAAGATACCTATCTCACCTCATTAACCACCAAAACAATTACCGTCGTCCCCAGTATGAAAGATTTTGTCCCACCAATTGTAACCTACGTACCAGCGGTGGACAAGTTATATGCAATCAATGCTTAAGACAAGGGCACGCCCAAAGATCGTGCCCCGAACAAGTTTCCCTGTTACCAAAAAAAAACAATTATCTACTTATATCAAGGCAACAAAACCAACGGAACCATAATCCATAAAATTTGACTAATTCAGTAATACTTTTTTCCAAAAGGGGCGATCCCAAAACAACACACCAGGAAATAGACAGTATTCTGATAACTGAATCCTTTCATGGCACACTAATGCTCTTGAATCAGATCCTGAAGAGGACCCTGGTTCTGAAGTCTGGGGAAAGGTATATAATCTTAGAGTACCCATTCTAATGGACAGGTGCAGTCTATTGGATAAAACCATTTTTGAAAAAATTAAAAATTGAGTTACTGAACCACTACCTTATTATGGTGCTCTGAAAATGGCTAATGGAACGCCACTCCATATCCTTGGTTAAATCTTAAGCCCTGTTGATATTGAAGGTATATTTGAACATGAAATGCTAATAGCTGAAGATTTAACCCATCTAGTAGTTTTAGGGTATGATTTTATGAGTCAATTTAACGTTGGGCTGGACTGCGGAAATCATTTAGTTACAATTGAAGAAAAGTTCAATGTACCCATGATTACAAAACCCATTGACAATAAAGTTGCCATAGAAGAAATTATTGATAATACGATAGTTTGCCGTAAAACTCAAGTTAATGGAATCAAAAAACTTTGATGACTTACGTATCCATAACTTCAAGACTGTTAAGCCCAATAGTAAGAGATTACAACAAGAAGACCTAACTTTGCAGCCCGACAATTGTTTTACATCGAATGAAGTTGTACTGTCCCATCTGCTACAAAATGACCAAATCCCTGTAAGCAGATTAGGAATAATCAATATATCTCAATCAAACTGGAAAGACACAGATATAATACTTTTACAAGAGTCACCAAAGAAGACAACCATAGAGCTTGTTATGAACCCGATATGTGTGACAAAGGAAATGAAGGTTGTTCCCAATTGTCAAACTATTCTTACCATAGTGCACGCCTAAGAGACTAAAGACAACTGTCTCTTCATACCAGAGACAAATCTGTTTTGAGGAATAAAGTTAGTCCATATTTTCCCTACCATAACTCATGGTGGGTCTAACCAAGTCAAGCTGCATGTCATTAACCCCTCACTAAATTATTTGACCATTAGCAAAAATCAAGTAATTGGAGTAATTGTCCCGCTACCCTCCAAAATTCCTAAAGAGAAATAAACAAAAAAGATAGCTCTAAATACCGAAGTTCTCACTGAAGCCACAGAAAAAAATAAAGTAGACAGCTCTCATGAAAATAAAAAAAGATGAATCAGCAATATTCAGTATGGAAAAAATTGTTGACAAAAGAAAAAAGAAAAAACCAACGAAAATATCTACAATAAACAGGTAATACAATTTTTGTATTACCTGTTTATCGTAGATATTCTCTTTGGGAACCCAAAGAAAATATCTACAATAAACAGGTAATACAAAAATACCTAGATTAAATAAATAAAAATTCACAAGTCTCTGCAATAACAGTAGTTCAAGCAAGGAAACAAAAAGATAAAAGACAACCTGAAGGTCAATTGTCACAAACACGATGAAGAGGTTTGGAAAAATTTTTTCATAACCTCTTCATCGTATTTAAACTCTAAACTACAGTTTAGAATTTAATCAAAGTTTAGAATTCATGTGTACAGTTGTTTCCTGTAGTTTTTTCACTGATTTTCTTTTAATGCTGTTTTGCACTTTTAATTTTGATTTTGCTGCTATCACGCTTAACAAATGATTTTTATGATGATTACAATAAATTTTTTTTTACTGTTTTGCAAATGTGTATGCAATAATGATTTTTATGGTGTTGCTTTATGATGCTGATTTAAATGATGCTGTGATAAGTTTCGCTGTACAATAATAATGAGTTTTCTCAATGGATATATTACCCATGATGTTAGTTTGTAGTGTGGCAGTTTCGTTGTTACATTGTTTCGTTGTGATTGATGTTACGGAGGTTGCAAACAAACCATTCAAGCGGAATGCGTGAGTTAATTGAATAATATGAATGTTTGGCATAAATGCTAGAAAACAAGGTGAACTAAACAATTTGTTTATGAATTAAAGCGTGTCTAGCGTCTGCAAAACATATAAAAACATGGGTTAGTGAATGTTAAAAAAGTTGAAGTTGAAGTTAGAGTTGGAGTTGGGGAGTTGTTGACAATTAGTCTAGAGAGAGTTAATAGTCACTATGAGTTGGACAATCCTGATCGTTGGAGACAAATAATTATATTTGTTTAGTTATCTTGTACTAATTATTGTGTAACAAATACATGTTATAAAAATATAGCAGAGTTCAGTTTTATATTCCAATACAAGTTACCACAAAGCGTTATACACCGCGCAACATTTGAGTATGATTCAGTAATGTTATTTATATATAAGCAATTGTGTAAACATCTTACATAACAGTTCCTAGATGCTCCAAAAATTCTTATTTGTCTTATTTTTTTCATTGAACATCAGTTCTTTGGAATTCACCCCCTTCATCTCATTTTCCTGATTCATACAATTTGCAATCTTTCAAGTCGTCTGTTAGTAGCTTTTTAAACTTTATCTTTTCTCTTCCAGTAACATCAAATTCTAATAGTGGTTGCTTTCTGCATTGTTGGAAGTGAAGATGTTAAAAAAAAAAAGTATTTGTTCATGAGAGTTACTCACATTATTACCATTAAATTAACATTAGCAATTTTTAAAATGATTTTAATGAGCACAGATATAAAATGTTGAGTAATTTTTTTTAACGTCATTTAAAGATTGACTTTTTAACATTTTAAAATGTTCTTATTTTGTTATTATTTGAAATTTTAACTAAGAACATATTTTCCTCCAACTGTACTTTTTTTTTTTTTTTTTTCAATCTTTTCATTTATTTTTCTCATAACTTTTTCCGCCATTTCATTTATGAAATCATTGCAATGAATAAATTATTTTAAAATAATTTTTAAGTTATCAATAATTTCTTTGCACACTTTTTCAATTGATTAAGGAATCAGGTAAAACATGTAATATAAGTGATTGCTTTCACAAAAACTTATTTTAGTATAATATTTCATAAAAATATAATATTTTTTAAAAAAATTTAAAATACTTGGATGTTATCAAACTTCCTTTATTAATTGAATAAAAAAATGTACGCACAAGAGTTATTTTAAACTATTAACATCAGCTGGTAATTTTAACTATTAACATCAGCTGGTTATTTCTTTTTTAAAACAATAATTTAAAAAATGTATTGGATTTATTTTAAAATGTTGTTTTAAAAAGAAAACAAACTTTTTGATTTTCAAGCATTAAGTTATTTTTTTATATATAAAATTTAGTCATAAAGAACTATTACTGGGATAAAAATTTAAACAAAAAAAAAAATTAAAATTTTTGACTGTTCAAAAACAATTGATTGTCAATTCCATGAGCTAGCCAGTCCAATTGACCGCTTGCCTACCATTTCTTATTTTCCATGCTATTTATATAGACATATATATAAATATATATATATATATATATATATATATATATATATATATATATATATATATATATATATATATATATATATATATATATATATGTATATATATATATATATATATATGTATATATATATATATATATATATATATATATATATATATATATATATATATATATATATATATATATATATATATATATATATCTGTGTGTGTCTCACATCTAAGATGGCATTGTTCGCTGATAATACTACCATTTATTCAAAGATGTTAAAAATATATATATATATTTAACAACTTTTTTATTAAAAAATCATAAAAGTTTTTGATAAATTTAAAAGTTATTTTATTATATAGAACACATTAATGGAGTACCAACAGATGTTTAATATAATATAAGTTTAATATAAATGTTTCCTGATAAAAAATATGTAAATTTCATTCAAAAAAAATTTAATTTATATTTTTCTTTCTATTATCATATCACTCTTTCCATACCGCCCTTTCTGAAAAAAACGTTTTTGATAAAGTGGATAGACAAAGCTAAGATAATTATTTTCCAAAGCTAATGTTGCTTATATTTATTTAATTTTTTAAATTTATTGTCCTTTTAATTTTGATATGTTATATACTTTACATGTTTGAAATTAACTATTTTAAATTAACAACGTGAATCTTTACAGGTTGCTCACTGGTAGTAATAATTTTAATAATAATGTTCACTGGTAGTATTAATTTTAATAATAATGTTCATTATTATTAGGTAGTAATAATTTTCACTATTAGTAATAATGTCCACTGGTAGTTTGTTACTGGTAATAATAAAAATAATTTAAATAGTAATAATAACAACAACAACAATAATAATAATCTACAGCATTATGTGAAATAACATCATGTTATGTGCATAATACAAGTTCTCATTTTGATTTTAGAGTTGCTTATCATTATTAGATGTGGCTGTAAAATATGGTGGATTACCCCCTGAAGGGCTTTGTCCCTTGATTGTAACACTTTGTCGAACAGTCAACATAAAAAACTTTAGTCAACCAAGTTGGAAGGTACTTTTAAGAAATTTTATTAAATAATTGAAATGGAATTTGTTGATTGACAGTTATATATTTTTTTTAGCTCATGAGAAGTTTGATTGGAACAACATTTGGTCATACAGTTTTGAACTTGATGTGTTGTATTCTTGAAGACAAGTAATTATAATTATATGATAATATGGCCAAATGAGGTAATTACTGGTCTCATTAACACTCACAATCTTATCTTTAATTTGATAAGATTTAAAATTATGTATAGTGTGTTATCATGACATTCCTGAGGTGCACCCTGTTGAGTATTTGTTATTGCATTTATATATATATATATATATATATATATATATATATATATATATATATATATATATATATATATATATATATATATATATATATATATATATATATATATATATATATATATATATAATATATATATATATATATATACATACATGCATACATACATACATACATACATACATACATACATACATACATACATACATACATACATACATACATACATACTTACAAACATACATATATAATGGTTGTTCCCTCAAAAATGGAACTCCACAAAATACAATCACTTATATGGAAATGTTAAAATGCAAAACTAATAACATATGACTTGATGTTTATAAACTACACAATATGTATTTACAATAAAAAATTTTCTTTAGTTAAAAAAAAATTAGCTCAAAAAGAGTAAACGCATGTACAAGTTCTACAAAAATAACGTGAGGAAAACTCTTTACTTATAATCAATTTAAAGCAGAAAATGTTCCAATAACAACTGTATATTGTATAATTAAAAATATGAAATTGGACTGAATTTTTTTTTTTCAAGTGACAGCCCTATAACTATCAGTGGAGTAATTACATAAAACTCATAAAAGCATAAAAATAAACTATAAAAACTAAAAAAACTGCACAAATCTATTTTAAAGTATCTTTAAAAGTTTGAAAATTTCCTTTAATAACTCATATTGTTTATTAAACAATATATAATAGTTATACAATGTTTAACTATTATATATTGTATATATTTAAATATAATCTCTATTTTAGATGTATAAGATATCATAAAATAAATTAATTTGACAAATTGATCGCCCTTCCAATATCAAAAAGCCAAGAAATCGTATATATAGAAATTTGATTAAGTCACTAATGGGTTTTTCAAAATTTTGTTAGACAAGGCAGATATTAGGAAGATATCATTTTCTTTTAGAATTGGGTAAAATTCCAAGATCAAGTGATGTTATTAAAGAAATCTCAATTGAAGTTTGTCAATTATAGAATAAAATGATGATACCGTATTTTACAGAAAAATCTGTGCAAACAAAAGTAAAGTTTGCTATTCAAAATTTGTTATCAAATCTTCACAAAAGACAAATAAAAAACAATTATTATAAATAACTGGGATATATTATTTGACTTATTGTCTAAAAATGCTAAATTTAAAAATCTGGAAGACAAACTCTTTTATGAACTTCAGAAATCTTCCGATGGGTACAAAGGTCAATGCAATATTGTGACAGAGCCTATTACAACATATCCGCGAGACCTGCCACCTATAAGAAAAAAACTTAAAACAAATTATAGTCAATCGTTTGATGATACAGAGAATCTAGTAGAGAAAGTTCAGAAGTTAATAGTACAAGTGATGATTACACAATCTCATTGAAACATGCTAAGATCATCGGTAAAATGGTAGCTAAGATATCTGAAAATGAAGGGTATCCAGTAAGTTGTACGGCAAAGGTTGCAGAAGCTGTACTCAATGCCATTGGTGAGACATCGATTTGCATAACGGCAGTCCAAAAAACATCTACAACACTTGTGCATGAATTAAGCTTGATTTGGTCTTATATAGACTCTTCTGAAGAAATGTGGTACATACATTTTGATGGTAAGAGAATAGACAAACAACATTATTATATCACTTGCATTTAGAGCAAGTCTAAATCTTTAGTAATATCTATGGAATATATATATATATATATGTGTATATATATATTTTTTCATCATCTTTGCTTTCAACAAGGCTGCAAGCAACGACTAATTAGTGTTGGAAATTACTTGAAGAGAAAAGATGAAGATTGTAGAGCAAGATAACAATTGACAGATGACTTGAAAGATTGCAAATTATATGAATCAAGAAAGTAAGATAAAAGAAGCAAATTCCAAAGAACTGATGTTTGAGGGAAAAAACTAGACGAATAAGAGTTTTTGGAGCACATAGGAACAGTAACATAAAAAGGGTGAGACTTAATTGAATGACGAGTAACACGAGAATGAATTTTAGTAGATTGCACAAGAGACGTTAGCTCTTTAAAGCAGTGCCCATTATAGTATTTGTAGAAAAGAGAAAGAGAAGCAACATTACGACGATGTGGTTAAAGGTTGGCTGTAAGAGAAAAGGGCATCATTAGAAGATTCGCCCCAGATATGGCAACAGTATTCCATACAAGGACAGATTTGAAAATTATAGAGATAGAGAATAGAATCCAGAATTAGAAAGTGTCGAGCTCGATAAAGAGATGCAACTTTAGCAGATGCTAATTTTGCAACGGATTTGATATAATGTTTCCAAAAAAGATCAGAAGTAAGTTAATCCTAGTAGATGAAGGGTAGATGACTCATTGAGTACATTACTGTTCATAAATATAGGAAGGTCTAAATTAATGCAATAATGATTGGCTGAAAAAATTGAGTTTTATCTGAATTAAAATTCACCAGCCACTGTGAGCCCCATGCTGTAGCAGAAGTGAGATCCTTTTCAAGACCAAATGCCCCCTGCAAGCAATCAGAGGGATTTGGCTTCTTATCGTGATAATAATAAATGGTAGTATCATCAGTAAACAATGCCACCTTAGATGTGAGAATATCTGGAAGATCGTTAATGTAAATTAAAAAAAGTATAAGGCCAAGGATTGAACCTTGACGAGCCCCTGAGGTTACAGAATAAGAAGAAGAGTACTGTCCATCAAGGACAACTCTTTATACTACAAGAAGACCAGCATGCCAAACTTTATCAAATGCTTTAAAAATGTTTAGAGCGATGGCCTTAACCTTTACACCTTTATCTAATGCGCTATAAAAGTTATCGGTTATTACTGTTAGCAAATCAGCCCTAGAACAAGAAGATCGAAATCCATATTGATGATCAGAAAGTTATTAGATTCAAGATGAGACTCTGATAAGCACTTGTTAAATAGTTTTGAAAGGATAGAAGACTGCTCCGGAGAACACTTCTGCAAGACTATAACAGGTATGTTGTCCAGGCCGCAAGCTGTAGAAGAGTCTAAGCAGGAAATCACTATAGATACAGAAGCTGGAGTGATACGGATGTTAAGCAATGGATCAACCTGTTTGACGGCTATATCAGGTAAAACGCAACTAGTGGAATCAAGAGATGATATTGATGAAAAGTTCTTAGCAAACAATTCAGCATTGTCTTTGATGAGGTGATAAAGTCTGAACCATACAAAAGAGGTGGAATTACAGACTTGCCCTTATTATTGATACTATTAAAGATTCTTCAGAAGTCATGAGAGCCTAATTTTTGAGTTGAAAAACGAGATTTTATGATCTGAGAATAGCGGGCTTTAGCGTTAGATAAAACCTTTTTACAATGGTTCCTAGCAGTAATAAACAGATGTCTGTTTTCTGGAGAATTGTTTTGCTGATAGATATGGAAGGAATGGTTTCGATTGGCAATTGCAGCAGCACAATGCGAGGAAAACCATGGAGAAGAGTGAGGCTTGACCTGGAATTGTCGAGAGGAAATAAAGGATTCCATGCCAGCCTGAATCCACAAAATTATGTAAGAAGCACATTTGTCAACAGGAAGATAAAAAATTTCTACCCAAGGGCTATCACGAAGAAAATTACGGAAAGAGTCCCAGTCAGCTTTAAGGTAGTTGTAAGATGTGCGATGATAGGGGGTGTCTGATGATAAAGAAGAATGAGATAATAGCTTTATAAAGATCAAACTGTGATCAGAGGCACCTAAGGGTAAATACGGAGAAACTGAGCACTGACTAGGATCAGAAACAAGACATAAGTTGAGTAGAGAAGGTAAATGATTCAGGTTGTCTGGAAAGCGAGTTGGAAAGTTGACTATTTGAGTTAGGGATTGAGAATGGCAATAGTTGTGGACTTTAATGCCTGCAGAGTCACTGACACTAGAGCCAAGCCATTCAGTGTGATGAACATTAAAGTCACTGACAACAACAATATTGCCTGATGGATAAAGAGAGAGGGCTTGGTCAATATGATCAGAAATAAAGTCAAGAAGAGTGCAGTCTTGAGATGAAGTAGAACGATATAGAACAATAAGAAAGGTGATAGAGTGAAGTGGTGCTAAACAAAAGCACATAAAAGAGTAGTCTGTAGATTCAAACCTAGTTTTCTGACAAATGGGTGAATTCTTACGAATGTAAATGCCCAGGCCAAGCATGTGACTATTGGAGTCTTTATGAATTAAAGGAAGATAACCATCAACACTAAGATCACAAGATGAGACAGCTGAACTCAAATTAGTCTCACAAAGAGCAAGTAGGTCTGGTGAACTTTGCAAGAGATATGACTCAACAGAAGAAAAGTTACTTTGAAGACCACGAATATTAGTGAATGATAGGTTTAGCGAACTTGGTGATGACTGTGGTTTTTTGTGTTTTATAGTTTTTGTTGCTTTATTCATTTTTAATTTTGTGAAAGAACTTGACTTGAAACATAGATATTACTCAGTACACTGTTTAATAGCCCAAGCAATTGCCTCAATACTATTAATAAACCCTAAGCTGTAACAAAGGGTTCCGATGTAGCCTTGGCAATGCACACCAAAAGTACAAAAAGGAACACCATCCATGCGCAACATAGCACTGTTAGTACTTTGATATTTTACAGCTGTTGATGGAATCAGTCTCTCTGAGAGCTACCACAGAGTTCGGGAAACCTGACTACCCGCCGGCCTCAGAACCATAAAACTGAGTTTTAGAGCTGTACCCTCATTTTGAGATTATAAAAATGAGTTGCCTAGTCATAAAAACAGAGACACAAGCAAAACCCATGCATCGAGTCAAGAAGATCCAGCATTCAGCATCCTAAACTGGAAACAATGTATTAAAATTAAGATAAAATACAAGATAGCACCCGGATGCATTTAACATCTGCTTAAAATGAGTATTTATATCAAGACACTATCTTTAGCCTTGACTCAACCAAGAGCCCCAAGGCAGGGGATGTTTTATGTCGGAGTTGGCATCTCCTAGCTTTTGCCTAAAAAGGCATATCCTACAAGGCAGCTGGACATGAAGCAGATTGTACTGGGTTACATGTTACCAGTAGCAGGATAAACCTGACCTGAATATATATATATATATATATATATATATATATCTGTATATATCTGTATATATCTGTATATATATATATATATATATATATATATATATATGTATATATATATATATACATATATATATATATATATATATATATATATATATATATATATATATATATATATATATATATATATATATATATATATATATATATATATAATATATATATATATATATATATATATATATATATATATATATATATATATATAAAAATGGGAAGTAGTTATCTACATGGATAAAAGCGAACATTTATTTGTTTTGAATTTTTTTAATGGTAATTTGTGTAAAATTTCATATTCATTAATATAATACATATTTGAGACCGATTTTATGGGTTTATTTATGGTTAGTATATAAGTTTTATGTATATAAGTTTTAGTATATAAGTTTTATTTATGGTTAGTATATAAGTAATATATAGTTCTTTTATATTTAAAAAAATTGTAATAATTTTATTTATTCTAGGTTAATAAGTTTGAAAATAAAAATCTGCTAACTTTAATTTCATTGA